ATGTTTACCAATAAAAATAATTTTTTTACAAAAATTTAATTAATTCAAAATATTTTTCTTTAAATTCAAAATAAAAGTTTATATATATTGTATATAATGTTTATATATAATTTCAATCAAAAATTTGACGTTAAATTATAACTTATATTTACAAAATATTGGTCATTAGCATAACTTTCTCAGTGTTACATTCCTAGATTAGGTTAAATACACAAGAAAGAATATGTAAAACATGCAACAAATAATGCCTCTACAAAAAGAATAGTTTTGAAATTTAACAATTAAAAATAAAAGTATAAATAATTAATTCAATTATTCTACAACAGGTTTATGATTTCGTTCTAATATAAGCACAGCAAGCAAATTTGTTAATAAAACTTTCACAGAAATAACCAAAACTCCAGAAAATGTGCGAACATAAGAGTCAAGTATGGCTTTGGGTCAGAACGCTGACTCTGAGCTTGAAATTTCGCACGACTCGAGTCTCAAAAAATAATTTATGAATAATTAAATACAAGTATTGTTTCCAAGACCACTGATGATGCGTATTTGGCAATACTCGAAACAGCTGTGAGTTATACAATTTAATTCAAAAAATTAAAATATAAAAATAATTTTTGTTGTTGTAGTTCACTACTATTCGAAAAACCTTTTTATTTCAATATTAGATTAAAACCTCTTATCTGAATATCGTTTAGAATACGAATTTGGTAAAAATTTTAAAAATTGTCTTCATATCAGAATAATGTAAACGAAAGCTTATTCTAGAAATAGTTTACTTAATTTATTATGCTGTACTTACTTACTATACTTTACTGACTTTATTTTGCAAAGAAATAATGAGTTTATGATAAGAAAAGTAAAAGGAAAAAAATTAAAAATATAAGCTTTATTTCTCAACTTTAATGTTTTACTTCAATATTATTTCTTTTTTTTGGAAAAACTATTTTACTTCACATAATCTAAGCATATTGGCCACTTTATTTAACTATATCAATAAGAAAAGATACTTTTATTTGTTTCAAGATAATAAAAATCTTTAAAAATGCAGCAAGAAATGTGAATTAAAAAAGGATACGTAACAAGTACAGTAATTAAAATGATAATTACAGCTATAAAAACACAGCACTGTGAAGATCATATTTTCTACAGTTTACGATGCCATTAATGTCAAGTATTGCATTTTTAAGTTACAAGGATTACCAAAAGGATAATTGCTACAGCTACAGTACGAAAAAAGAAGAAGGGCTAAAGTAAAATAATGATAAGAGTTAAACTCACCAATAAAAATGCATCGTTTTTGCTGCAAGAAAGTGTAAAAGTAACATAAACATTTTATATACATAAAAATATTTTTGATAGAACCCTTTACTATATTTGAAGATTGTTAATCTTCTCTATTGTTACACTTTCAAGAATAGAGAGTATTAATTCTTACCAGTTAATTAAAGTTATTGAAATTTGATACAAAGTTGTTGAAATTTAATTAATATACTTTTATTTTTTATATATGCTATGGGTTCAATTTGATTGATCTACTGTATTATTATATGATAGGTTTTTCATTATTTGAATTTCTGTGATATTAAACTAATCTAATTTATTATAATTAAACGCTGCCTTCGCTTCAAAGACATTGTCCTTGCAATTTGGATTTAAAATCTTTTATAATTTGTATTAATTATCTGCATTTGTTGAGGTAGTAGATCGAAATGTTATATAGTCCACGTCTACAAATCAAAATTTTTGTTTTATATCAATCACGAATGAACTTTAGAAAATAATCACATACATACGCAATTAGTTTTATTATCTATAATTCATATAATCATATGATTTAACAAGGTAGATGCAAATGTTCAATATATTTAGAAATCTTGTGTATGGACAAAAGAAAGATTGTGATAATCTTGATGAAGTATTTTTAGTTTTCTGTTTGTTAACACAATAAATGATTTTGTTCGAAGATGCTATTTTTATTTAACAATAATAATAAATAGATAGTTACGGTCGGTAGCTACCGCGCCAACCCTTCCCCAAGTGACATTTTAAATTCAAATCAACAGAACATATGATAACACCTTCAACTGCCTTGATAGGATGATCACAACTAAGGGTGGGACTGATGGGGACAACTCGGCAGCAAAACAAAAGTCAAGTCCTCATTTGGCATGCTACGCTCTATTTGGAAATAACAACACATCTCTGTAAAAATGAAACTATGCAGATATAATTTCAACACCAAATCAGTTCTCTTTTTTGGATGTGAAACGTGGAAACTCACTACCGTCATCAACACACGCCTAAAATCTTTTTCCAACAAAAGCTTGCGTCAGATTCTCAATAATTGGTCACCAACCAAATACCAAGCTGTGAGTCCCTTTCTTAACAACATCGCTCGTCAAGCACTCAGATAGAGTCTCCAGGGAAGTGGCTGTCGTATTGGGACTCCTGCTAGAACATGGCAAACAACTGTCGATGCCGAATTGCAAACAGCAAATTATTTTCGGAATGACATCAGCCGAGAAGCACGCAATGGAGTTAAAGAACACAAAAGGATGGTGTAAGCCCTATGCTCCACTAGGAGGCGAGGAAAATAGAAGAATGAATAGATATTTTACTTTTACCATTAAGTTATTATAAAAAATCAATATTGTATGTATTTTATATCATATAATTTATATTGTAATATATAAATATAAAAAAATTTTTGTATTTTTATTTATTTATCCTAAAAATTTATAGAAAGTAAAAATAAACAAAAGCTACTAAGTTGTTTTTTTTTTCTTAATTTCTGTTGATCAAAAATTCGATATATCAAAACTTCCATTATTTGAAAGATATGTGCTCTTTCCTTGGAATTCGATTTATAAAAATTCTACTGTATATTAAGGTAAAGTAAAGGTAAAGTGGGTAAAGTTAATTTAGTACAAAACATTAGGATAGCCATTTAAGAATCTATGAGTAGTTTGCTATAGCATCAGTTATTTTTGTTCTTATTATATCATTTTAAAAATGTGTAAATTCTTTGACTAAAGTTTCGTATTTTAACATCAGTTTTAATATTTTAACTAAAGTTTTAATATTTTAACATCATTGAAAATCCCTAATACATTATTTTGTCTACGTCTATGTATTTCGTATGTTGCTGGAACAGATTCGTAGTAATTAACACCTGCTTCACAACTGCGAAACGTTGCAGTTTGATTAAACTAAAAACAGACGAGTTCTCTTGTTTTTATACACATTTGTATTTTTAATTTTATTATTTAGTTTTGTATCTTCCTGATTGAATTTTCACTTCATCAATTCTTTCATTTTTTCACACTGCAAGTGTGCAATTGTAATGAAATGCATTTTAACTCACAAGTAGTGCAAATACCTTCATACCAAAGCAAATTGCAATGCATGAGGCAACTTATTTTAATTGAAATTCTATTTAAATGAAAATGATAAGAATATTCTACTTCACATATCAAAGAAAACAAGAGTTACACACTGAATTCAATTTACTGTATATCTAATATAGAAAAAAATATATAAAATCTATGCTATTAATATTAATGGAACACTCAACCAAGTAATTTTCTAACTTGCCTCTTTTGCTGATTTGCTGCTTTGCTGCCTTTAATAAAAATCAATCATTTTCAATTTAAAGTGGCAACACTTCAGCGCGTTTTCATTACAAATTAATTATGAACATCATTAATTTATCAGCACGATTTCAGTGCACAGCATTTGACAGCACATTAAGATACTTTATTTTCTAGACAAAATGTTAGAAAGTCAGTAAGCAAGAATTTTGTTAGACAAATGAGCTTTCGCGGGGTAGACAAAGGACTTTTAAGGATGGAGGTTGAGATTTCTTTAGTTTTAAAATGTTTGAAGTCAAATATCTTTCATTATTTTGTCTTTTCAATTTGATTAAGTCAAATGTTTTTAATTGCTACGAATTCAATTGCTTTTTCCTTTTCTTTGTAATTAAATGATTTTCATTAAATTATTAATTTGAAAATGTTTTAATATACAATATATAAATAAAATAGGAATACAGCTTGAATGAAGTAGAGTTAATAAAGCTATATATAAATATTTCTTTTCATTTTATATGTATATTGTTAAATTCAGTAAAGCAAAATTTTAATAGCCTTATATTTAATATAATATATTTTTTTTAAATTAAAATAATACGTAAAAGTACATAAATTGAACTATATAATATTTTTCAATTTATTGAAAAGTGTACGAAAATGAAAACCTGACAATGATCATCTAGTTATACTTTTGAAATAATCCTAAATAATTTTTTCATCGGCCGACTTCAAATACTTTTTTAAAATGAAAATAAAGAAATACCACAATATGATTGAATTTCTATGTATATATACTATATAAACTTCATATATAATACAGTATTACAATTCCAAAATTGAGTGTAAATTTAATAAAGTTTATTAAAACTTTGCAAATTCATTTTTGTTTCCGCATTAAAAAATTGCATTCCCTAAAGAAATCAAATACATCATAGGTGCTTTAAATGTTAATAGATCAATGGTTTTCAACTTGTGCCCCTGCCCACAGTATCTGATTATATTATATACAGCGTTTTTCGAAATTAATCTTTTTATTAGACTTTTTGGTTTATTATATTTCACAGATATCAACGCATACAGATTATGTTATATTAAAGGAGTTGGTTTTAAAGTACAATAGTTAGAGCACACACTAAGACTATGCAGCATTAATAATTAAATTAAAAGTAATACACTCAGGAAAATAATTTGATTATTTAACAACATTTTATCTAAATCTCAGATCAAAATATTCTGACTCGACGCATCATGTTGGTTTAATCATACCACATATTGGTTTCTATATCTTCTTCACCACATGAACTAAAATTTTTCTTATAAAATGATCAGGTCAATTTACCTAGTATGTGGTTAGAACATATTTTTCTGACTCTACTTACAGATAAACTCTCTCTTTACAAACAAAAAATGCTCGTTATCACAAATCAGGTACAACACACCAGTCAATGTTACCGTTACCGATAAACAGTACCGTTTACAAAGGAAAAAGTCCGATATAATAAAGTCTGTGTATCTCTCAATAACAATTACTATAACTCAAATTCATGAGTTGAGTATATCGATTGAACATACTCCTTATACAGTCGATCTATCCTCTGGTAACTAATGAATTCTCAATATATTAAATTTTTGTCTTTTACGTTATAAATTGACATCAGTTCTTATACGACATACTAAATATTTTTTCAGTTCGCAGTAATTTTTGGGTTTCGAAACACTGGCTTGAGTAACATAAAACTACTATCCCTATTAACTTTAACTAATTACAACTATAACTAATTAGGATGTGAACTGTTTCCATCGTTAATTAGGAACTCATCATCAAAAAAAAAAATCGTGTAACAAGATTACTATCCCTATTAAGTTTAACTAATTAAGACCTGATTAATTAGACATTGATGTGTGTCCATCGATAATTAGAAACTCATTAACGAAATATATTCAAGGCATTGTTAAGCAGGAATATACTTTCTGTTTTATTAGAAACGTGATCGATATAAAAGATATATAACATTCCCATTATTTTGTTCTTCTGTTCTATGCTACTATATACCAAACCCAAATAGATCAATAGAAATTTTTCTTTTTAATCTTCACAAACATTACATTTACTATCTATTAAAGTACACTCCATGCTTACATTTTATTTTTCCTTATTAATGGACTCAACATTGTTCTTTGAAAGTAACAAAGTACTTCAATTTATTATATTTAATATTGTATCTTACTGCTGTACGAAACATACTAAAAACTTTTTATTAAATTTTGTGTAAATTTTAATTAAACAAATTCTGCACAGTAAGGACAATGTTCGACATTAACTTGCATTTGTCTCTTCACTTTATGCATAAAAAAGTATGTAATTTACTCACTGCTGTCTTCTATCTCAAAAGGTCATATAAATTATATTAAAATTGTATGTGCAACAAACACTTTGCGAATGTTAATTAAATTTTTATTAAAGTTTTATTTAATTTTTTTGTTTTTCGTTTTTTTATTTGCAGTCACATTTGGGCATTGACAATTTTCTGCTGAACAACGACAATGGCCAACAATACTCCTATTATGATACTCAGGACAATTTTAACAGCAATACGAATAACAACCACAACAACAATAACAATAACAACAATGAAAATGCTATTAGGAGCAAAAACAATAACGATATGATTACTGGCAATGTCCTTAAAATGAACTCAACTGAATCTGGCACCCATTCACCATTGTCCATTGACAATATTGATGAAATCAATCAAAGCGCTGAACTGCAATGTCTCCTACAAGAGCACATTGAAACATCAACCTTTGGAAATACAAGCGACTTCTGCTTTACTCAGTTTGATACAATCCTTTGCTGGCCACGCACACCGCGTGGAACGCTTGCTGTTCTACCCTGCTTGGATGAGCTTCAAGGAATTCAATATGACAGTTCACGTAAGTAATTCAAAATGGTATAAAAGGCTGAATGCCCATTCTCTTGGGGTAATAACGTATCAGCACTTCGCTTTTTAATACAGTAAAACTAAAATGACATAACAAAAACTACAACAGACACAACGTCAACAACAGTAGCAAAAAAAAAAAATTGTTAAATCCTGAATAATACTGAACCATTACCAACAAAGGCAGGAGTAATTGGAATGAAAACAAAATAATCGTAAGAGCAAATTGTGCGTACCTTTTTTGTATTGAATCATATTCAGTGCCAGTATTTCATACTTAAATGGGTCTGCCTGTGGACTCAACAAAAACTTTAAAAATTTCAATTACTCAGATTTATTTTTTTATAGATACAAATGACAATCATATCACTGAAGGCAATAAAATACAAGTTCAGCTGCACTTTATAATCCTTTTCGTTGCATTTATTTGCATGAAATATTAATTTTTGATTTTTAAACAATTAAATGAATTTTTATTAAATTATAGCTATTGAAATGTTTAATTGAATCTCGTTAGTACTAATATAACACATTAACTATATAGCCTATAAAATTTACAATAGCTCTTCTTCTTCTTCTAAATGCCTTGTCCGCTTCGAATGTTGACTAGCATAACTGATATTTTTGTTTTGTCCACAGCTTCACAAAAAAGCGATCTTGTACTTTTGCAAAACCACTGTCTTAGATTCTTAATACACGATATCTTTCTTCTTCCCGGGCCGCGTCTTCCAACATCCGTAGCCAATAGCTCTTAATTTCAGTATTTGATTTTGGTATTTCTAGGTTTACCTCTCAGCAAATTATAATCCTTGCTATGAGAAGAAAAATTCTTGATCGCACATAAATTTCGTATTTTAATCTCATTTCTTGTTAGTTACCAAAATTAGCATATACCACAATAGCAAAATAATTAAACTTTAAATATTCTTATATGCAACTTCACATAAATATGAGATATAAAAATCTAACCAAAACTGTTAATCTGTCAATAAAAAGTTAAACGGTTTTAATTTCTTCAATATCGATATTTTTTAAAAATTTAATTAGATTGAAGCAATTAAGTTCGAAATACATTTTTTGCTATTCATAAATTTAAAAAGAAAATACACCATCTTATTCAAAAGCATAGAAGAGCTTTAAAAATTTATCAGCACAAAATATTAGAAAGTCTCTCTCATGTATAAAATGTTTAAAATCAACGACTTCATACAAAATTCACCGTATCACCGTGTCAAAAATGACATGACATTCGACATATGTCGGATTAGATACACAAACACAAAGCGTTATTTAACAACAATGAAATTTTAAGAAAAAAAAAAATAATTTGAGGATGAAAAACAAAGTATAGAAAACAATTGAATGAAGTTGAGAAGATTATTACTGATAAAAATTTAAATTTAAAGTTCAAAATAATTTCTTGAATTTCAACTCAAAGAAATGAAACACCGTAACACTCAAAAAAATACCATTAAGAACTAAGTAAACACTTTAAAGCACTTAATCTAAGTAGACTCGATGAAACTGATATAATTAAAGGATTAAAAAAGAAATATCCATCCTTTTATGAAGAACCCCGTTTTTTTGAACATATTAGAAGTTACTACGGAGGTTGATTGCATAAGGAGACCCGCAAATATAATGTTATCAGATAAAATCAGATGAAGTTATAGAATTATGAAATCCTATGCTATATTATTAAAACACATAGTTTAGGTTTTAGAAAGCTTAAAATCTTCTCTTACGTATTTAATTTTTAAACACGTTTACTTTTCTTAAAGATTTCATTGAAATAAATTTTAAAAAAATACTAAAATAAATAGTGAACGAAATTAAACATTACAGAATTGTAGTGTACTGCTCATGTCCGAAACAAATCAAAAAATGTTTAGTGTTTGTGTTTATAAACCCAACCACAAACAGTACACAAAAAATGAAAGCGACATGTCCGAAACACTAAAATAGTACACTGTTTCCGACATCTCATATTAAATTTTTAATATTCTTGTTGTGTTCTTTTCCTGAAGGTAGTGAACCTTTTAACGATCTTTTCACGAAGGTAGTGTATTTTTAGTGTACTTTTAGTGTATTTTTAGTGTATTTTTAGTGTCTTTTTAGTGTATTTTTAGTGTTTATCGACTAAAACGATTTGGAAATGTTTTAAATGTGCTTTGTTGTTGCTTCGTTTGCATTAGAAGAAGAAAAAAAGTTTGTTTGAATTTGTATTGCATGTATTTTGTTTCTGTTTTATAATAAAGATATTATGTATGCATTTATTGTTACATATTTAACGTTGGGGGATGTATTACACAGATATAATATTTTATTTCGAATGGGTTCATAAGCCCAAACTCTTAACATTTCTTGATATGATTAGAAATTTATTTAGTGTACTGTTCGTGTAGAGTTTTTTAACAAAAATAATAAATAGTACACTATCTGTGGTACCTGAAAATAAATGCCACAATTCCATTTATAATATTCTTAATTCATCTGTTTATTATTCTTAATTCATCTGTTTTGTATTACCAATATGAATATCAATTTTAATTTTTATAAATCAATAGTCGCAGGCCTTTGCAGCTAATACTTTTTTTTTCAAAACAAAATATTTTTTTATACCTATTTACTAAATCTTCTTCTTTTTCTTTATAATAGGATGTATTATAGAATATGTTAAAACAATTGAATTGAATATATTTATGTGAAATTATGACATTTTAAGCCTTGACATCATGGGTGGAAATTAAATCTTGTGATTATGCACCGCGATAAGGAGCGTTTAATAAATACTCAACTTGTGATATTCTACTATCATCAACACGATCATTGTCATATAACTGAATGAAGTAGTTTATCCATTCTATAATAGATATGTTGGTTAAGCTAATGTAGTCATTTATAGGCTTCTTTTGATTCTTTGATTTTTTGCGCGTCGTATAAGTCGTGTTCCAAATCTGAAGTGAAACATTCCCAATGTTGCCTTTTGACAGTAGCGACCTTTTTGTTACCTTTTGCCGCATTTACTCAATTTCTCACTGCCTTGTAGGTGTTGTAAGTTATTTTACCATGTCTATATTGTAAATCAGATCTTCGTTTTTCTTCCGCCAATTCTTTTACTGTATCGCAAAACTACGGCTTGTACAGTGTTCTTTTGAAGTTAGGCTTTATTATTCGCTTTCCCAGAGATTCAGTTGTTGCATATAGTATACTTGGTTCTATTTTATTCCTATATACTAAATGATTATATAAATATTAATAAAATTATATCTTAATCTTCAATTAAAGCGCTTAGCTGTCATTCTTTTAAGTTTGTTTCAAAATTGTTAATTGGTTTAAGAAATAATGCGATGTCTTAGCCAGCAATTAAAGAATGGATAAACCAACCATCTTGCATCTACATTTGGAAAAAAATTATGCATTTATTATTAAATTGGCTTAAGATATTTATTTCTTTATCCCTTTAGGAAATAAATAATTTTCTTGACTTCTGTTTCTTTTATCATATATTACTATTGAATATAAAATGCAAAAAATTTCCTTAAATACAATACGTTTCTTGAAGATTCATAAGAAAACATATATATTTTTTTGTATATTTGTTTGTGTAATGTACAATAGCATAAAATAAAATCAAAATAAAAGCTAATAGAGATGTATTTTACCGTTTATAAGATTTGCAAAGGACAAACACACTTACGAGACATAAAAGAAGCAATAAAATTTCTCCTTTAAGAACTTTCAAATGCGAGCAGGCAACGAGAAGTGCAATTCAAAATAAAAAATTTCTTGTTGTGTTTTATGGGAAATTTTGAAATGCATTTCAAAGGAAAGCAGTGCACTACTTCAACTCTCCGAAGGATGCCATTTCACACCGTACAAATTGGAGAAGTGGTCTTGAAAAAATTAAAGTAAACAATTTAATAAATAAATTTAGGAAATTCTCAAAATATGCATAGAAACCAATACTTGAAATATTTAGGAAAAATGCAATATATTATGTACATAAATATGCATATAAATTTACATATATATATATACATGTATATGTATAACATGTGAAATACTGAATTTTAATAAAAATTGCTTACAATATTTCTAATATAAAAGTGTAATATGTGCTTTTTTTAAACTTGTAAATATTTCATACTTTTCCAAGCATTTATTGCAACAAGACCGCTTTCATTTTACTACTGCTTCAATATCCTTAGTGAAAAGACACCCACTTGGAGAAGGACCTATTGATAAATATTCTCGTGCAAAGCACATAAGTTTTCAGTTTTATTTTTTCGATCTGTGAAATATTGCGGAAAATACTTGAACTTGTGTAATACATTATTAGAGCACGAATACTGAATTTAATTCCTTTTTTTTTGTTGTTACATATAAAAATATTAATAGCAATAGTGTTATAAGATGAATTTCAGTTTAAAAAATTGAAAATAAAAAATGCAATATCGATAAGCAGTTTTAAATAAGGAAATAGAAGTATTCGCTTTCAAGAAAGAAAGCTGTAACGATTTTACGTAATAAGAACAATATAATTTATAATTAATTTATGTTTAATAAATTAATAGTTATTTAATTTTTACTTACAAATACTTTTATGAGTTTTTCATAGAATTTTTAATTATACTTGTTAGTAACACAGACTTAAGATAACAGCATAGATAACTTCACAAATTATTATAAATATATGAAGTTAAGTTATATTAATATGTATGATTATAAATATTAAAAATTATTATTTGAATAAAGTATTAGTGTTGCTGTTAAGCTAGACTTACTTTGTATAGGGACAAAGAAGCTTTATTAAATTTTTAGAAGGGTTTTCGAATAACAAAGAAAGAAATAAAGGACAAACACAAAATTTATTTTTTAATTTTAATTGAAATTTGCTGACCATACAACGCTGTTTCGATATTGCAAGTTACTCTCATCAGTGGTCTTTGGGAATAATCGAATTTTATTTAATAGTTTATAAGTCGTATATAAT